AATAAGTTTTATCATAAGTTCATAATATGGTTCACCTTAAGTCTGTCCTGATCCCATCTGACTGACTTTTCCTGTAGAGCTTACGTTGTGGGATGAAGATTACGATGCTGATGATCAGATTGGTGAAGCAGTATGCTTACCACTGAGAAATATAAGACTCGGTATACCAGAGTCAAAAACGCTAAAATTTGGAGAGGTAAGTATTTATCATCTTCCACTTCAGTTAATCTTGAGTTAAAATGTTAGTTGTACTACTGGAGGTAGCTGAAGATGAGGCATAGTGCCCAGTGTGCAATATTACATTTATCACCTGATTAAAGATCCTCTGAATTAAGCTAGAGAAACTATATCTTATTAAATCTAATTTCTTTTTTCTTTTAGTATTCTGAGGTTGACATCATCTTAGAGGCATCTAAAGTGTAAGTATTACAAACTAATTATAATAATGTAATCGTGACAGATTTCTTTTTCTTTTCGTTTGCACGTATTTCATAAAAAGGCTCTTATCACGAAGGTTTTTCTTTCTTTTTAGTTCTGAGCAATATTCAGACCTGCGCTACAGTACGGATCTGTGTGATGAGGAAAAAGAATTCAGGGAAAAGAGAAAGGCTATAGTGTTTGAAGCCATGAACGAAATGCTGGGAGATCAAGGGCCACAAACCATGGACGAGGTGAGGTACTTAGATTCTTTCAAGCCCCGGTAGTGACCATCATCTGACATCTCCTTACAAAAGCTATGCATCGCCTTACATACAAGTTAGGAGAATGGAGAAAACCATCAGTTAAGGAATTGTTTTGATACACTAACAAATCCTCAAAGCTTACTTCAAAGAAATGTGTGTAAGTCATTAGAGAGAATTTATATTTTCAGCGTTAGTTAACAACCTTTAAAGCTCCTAATTCTCCTTTTATGGTACTGTTGACGATTTGACTTGTATATGTAAACATTTGGCTGTCGTCTCCAGGTTCCTACGATAGCCGTTCTTGGATCAGGGGGAGGTTACCGAGCCACTACGGGATTTAGTGCAGCGTGTCGGGCCCTGGACGAGATGGACCTGTTAAACTGCGTCACTTATCTAACTGGTTTATCGGGTTCTGCCTGGTAAGTGGACAGGTTTCACTCCCAGCATCTTCGTGGATCAGATCCATGGAAAGCATTTTGTTGCATTTTGTTGCTTTTGTTTTGTTTTTCTGCTCCCCGGAAACCACTGTTGATGCTTTATTTTGTGGCTTACCTTTAGGGGTCTGTCACTGTTGTATTCTCAGACTGCGGGCGAAAACATCGACCCAACGGAGACCCAAAAGAATATCAGAGAACACCTTCAGTGGGGACCCATGTGGCTACTTACCCCCAGGAGGGTAATGCAGTACGTTAAAGAGATCACCGAGAAATGGAAAAAAGGACAACCTGTCAGCTTGACAGATTTTTATGGTCATTGTGTTGGAGAGAGTCTACTGGGACCGGTAAGCTTAACTAAGAGGTCCTCTTAGAAATATTAGGGTGTTCAGTTAGCGGGTGGGGAACAAAAAATAAGTCGAGAGTTGCCTTGATGTGCAAACTAATGTTAATAAGAATCGAATTCACAGTTAGCAACTATGGGAATGTGTTGTCTTTTCGTTGGAGTGCCTGTATTTTGTCAGTAGTTACTGGCTTTACTATTAGTTGACGGTTCACCCCTCGAATCAGTTTTAATTTCAGTTTTATTCGCCTTATTAGCTCCAAAACATTCAAGGAACTTTGATTAAAAATGACAGTATGTTCTATTTATTTTGTTGAACAGAAAAAGAATTCAGTAAAGCTGAGTCATCAACAAGAGAAAGTCCGAGAAGCAGCCGTTCCCATGCCGATATACACCGCTATTAACTCCAAACGAGACGTATCAGCACAGTCTCTTGCAGGTGAGACAACAGTTATTGACCTCAGACTTATTTTACGTGCAAGACATAATTTTTAATTCTTTTGCTTCAGAATGGGTGGAGTTCACTCCCTATGAGATCGGAATGGATAAATATGGCACATTCATGAGGACTGAACTGTTTGGAAGCAAATTCTTTTGCGGAAAACTTATCGAGAAATTCCCAGAATCTCCGCTCTACTATCTGCAAGGTAAGTTGATTTGACCTGGTTATGATGATCTGGACTCACAGCTGGCAAACAGCTATAACCATTTAACAGACAAATAGCTTATTTGAGGACTACGGCCAGTACCAAGCAGGAAGCTAAAACATCGAAAATTAGACATGGCCTCGCAACGATTGAGGACGAGTCGCGAAAGAAAATTGGGAGTTTAGCCTGCCTGCAAGGTGACTAGGATCTGCTCCACAGGGACTGCTTGTAGAATGACCGACTTGTCACATTTACACACCTCGCTATTGCAGACTCTCAGCCATAAATGGTCACATCTTGGCTTACGTTCAGTTACGTTTTTGAACTGAGAGGCGAATACTTAACATTTGAATGTTTCTTGTCTTTAGGAATCTGGGGAAGTTTTTACGCCATTCTTTTACAGCGAGTCTTGAAAGAAGACAAACAGATAAAATCAGAAGAAGACAA